GTGACAAGCAGGCTATATAAAGAATAACTAATGTTTCAGACACGAGACCCAAAGATAGGGTTATATATATATATATATATATATATATATATATATATGTGTGTGTGTGTGTGTGTGTGTGTGTGTGTGTGACTCATCCACCCGATGATACATACTGTTTATATATTTGTAAAATACTTAACTCGTAGGCCATTTCATTTAAAGAGTCTTTTAGAGATAAAGTTCCTACCTGACATTTCTCACTCCTTTCCCGAATGCCTAGATCACAAGCTACATTCTACATTCATAATATCCTACCGAGTTTTGGGAGCATTAAGCCTCCCGGGGATACTCAACCCCAACCAAGTTTCAGGATCATTTACTGTCCTGGGGATACTCAACCCCAACCAAGTTTCAGGATCATTTACAATCCCGGGGATACTCAACCCCAACCGAGTTTCAGGATCATTTACAGTCCCGGGGATACTCAACCCCAACCGAGTTTCAGGATCATTTACAGTCCCGGGGATACTCAACTCCAACCTAGTTTCAGGATCATTTACAGTCCCGGGGATACTCAACCCCAAACTTATTCCTTACCAAACCCTAACCTGGATATGGCTAACCTTTCATTCCTTTAACTATGGTCAATACCTAGCCCTATAGACATATAACCATCCTTAGGAACCAACGTGGGCAGGTCCCACCTTAACGGCCCACATTAACCTACTCAAAACTGCCCGTTTTGAGCATAACCCAATACTCGATCGAGTACCCACCTATACTCGGTCGAGTACATGAGACAGTAGCCAGTAAGGCCAATTTTTGGTGTATACTCGATCGAGTACCTACCCATACTCGACCGGGTATAGAAGACAGTAGCCCCTGTGGCAATTTTTAGTAAATACCCGGTCGGGTATTTGCTAATACCCGGTCGGGTATAGCAGTTGACTTGGCGGTCAACGCCCGTCTGACCGCCCAAACGGAGTCCGATTAACGTGAAATTTTACATGCAAGTAGTATTTGACGTCCTTAATCCAAAAATACCTATTTGGGTCCTTGGAACATCATACATATCAATTTATGGTAATTTCACCAATCAAACCTATAAATCATGCTTTCTAACTATGTTATATTCTTTAACATAGCATAACACATACTTTAATTCCATTAATCAATCCATAAAACATATTCTTGATTAATTTAGGTAATATCATGCCTCACGCAAAAGTTATAAAGCATAAAGCCGTCTTCTCACCTTAAATAAAGCTTATGAAGTTCTAGCCTTACTTATTGGGCTCCGACGAAACTCCGGCGAACTTCAACGAACTCCGGCGACAATTCCACACGAGTTTAAACATGTAGAACAATACTAGGGGTCCTTCATATGCTATGTAAGTCATATGATAGGTTAGAATTAGAGGAAAAGTTATTATAAGGTTATTACCTTAATCCTCCTCCCTTTTCCTATTCTTTTTCCTCTTTAATCTTCTCTTTTGGACCACCTTAGCTTGAGCTCGAATTGCAGCAATGGAGATGGAGATTCTCAGAGCTTCTCTCTCAAAGATGGAGTTGTTGGCCGGGCATATGGTTGTGGGGGTGAGGGAGATAGCCTTTTTGGCTTATTCACCAATAATATGGGGAGGGTCCCCTTTGCTTTCACACTTTGTCTCCCAATCACTCTCCACCCCTATTCCAGCTCCATGATGCGGCTCCCCTCTTCTTTTGCAGCCCAAAAACATGGGTTGGCCCCCACTTATGTGGGAGGTCAACCCTTTTGTGTCCCGGTGTGTACATTCGGCCCCGTAAGTTGTCTTCTCCGGACTGTTTTAATTATATTTTATTTTATCGGGTCAAATAAAATATAAAACATTTTCCCAATCCTTATTGGACCTTATACGGAATATGTATTCCTCAAATTTAATTTAGAAGTCTCCGAAATCCCTTTTTCGGGCTGTTATCCGATAAATTGCCGATACCGATAATTTGGCCCCGTTTGACCAACCGGTCAACCCTATGCCATTGCCACGGCCCACTTAGGATATACACCACCATATACATATTATCTAGGCCAAGATTAATATAATATGTGATCCCGACAGTACTGGGCGGCCCCCACTTCCGGTGTGGGCCCCACGTGAATTTTACTATTCACGTAAAAGAAATAATAAAAATTTACAATCTCGTAAAAATGCTTTATTCATTTCTCAGGGTTCAATACATAATTTGATAAAGTACAAATACTTGGGGGCGGTGTTACATGTAGGCCCACTGCCGAGGGGTACCTCCAACAACAGGTACATCATTGTGGCCATCGACTACTTCACCAAATGGGTGGAGGCTGAGCCCCTTACCAGCATTACCGAGGCCAGGTGCCGTCACTTCGTCCTCAAGAACATCCTCACAAGGTTCAGCATCCCCCAACAAATCATCTCCGACAACGGGACTCAGTTTGAGGCTGCCCCCTTCTGTGTCCTCCTAGAGGCATGGGGCATCAAACACACGTTCTCATCGGTTGCCTACCCTAAGGGCAATGGTCAAGTAGAGAACGCCAACCGGACTTTGCTTGAGGGCCTAAAGAAGAAACTTGAAGCCGAATGGGGAGGCTGGGTAGAAGAACTCCACAACATCCTGTGGGCCTATCGCACCACCCCTAAGAGGGCGACAGGCGAAACACCCTTCTCCCTTTGCTATGGATTCGAGGCCAAAGCTCCCACTGAGGTAACCCTTCCTACCCGAAGGGTGGGCCAATATGAGCCTGAGGTCAACGACGCTAATATGGCCCTCGACTTCACCTAATCTCAGAGCGTCGGGAACAAGACTTCTTGAGGGCGGAAAACTACCGGAGACAAGTAAAGGGCTACATTTACGCCAAGGTCCATTCACGAGAATTCCAGGTGGGGGACTACGTCCTCCGGAGAAGGGAAGCAAGCCAACCAACCGAGGGTGGAAAGATGGCGCCAAAGTTCGAAGGCCCCTACATCGTCAAACCAGGGACTTACAAGTTAAAACGCCCCAATGGGATCAAGGTCCCTAGACATTGGAATGTACACCACGTGGTATAGTTTTATCAGTGAAATTAGAATGGCCAAGCCCTCATAACTCACGAATGTATTATCCAACGGCCCAAGGCCCCCAACTTTTCAAGAATAAAGATATGTTGAAGACACCAAGTCCAAACAACGAAACGCTTGTGAGCGGCCAAGCCCTCATGCAAGCTCCTGGCCAAACCCTCATGCAAGCTCCTGGCCCAAGACCTTATCGCAAACAAGACCCCTCGGTACCAAGTACCGAGGGTGGACGCTCCAATCAACTATGATGATAAAACACTAAGTGTTTTTGATGGAGAAATAACACCAAGTGTTAAAAATAAAGTCGTACCCCTCGAGGATGCAACCACACCGAAGGCGCCACCTATCGGTGCCGGCGGCCATTTGCAACCATTATGCAAATAAAACCCTTCCCTGAAACGCTTTCCGCGTCATTACCCCAAGAGAATGGCGGGCAACTAATATGCACAGGATTCGACTTTCAAAAATGAAACGCTTCCTGCACCATTACCCCAAGGGGATGACAGGCAACCGACTAAGACTCAGACTGAGGGAACGACTTTCAAAACTGAGGCGCTTTCCGTGCCATCCCCCCAGGGGAGGCAGGCATTAGACCATGTCTCGGGCCGAGGAAACGTCCCTCGATCCCCTCGGAACCCGGGTGGTTAACCTCGAGGGGGGAGCCAACGGTGTATACTGTTGCCTCCCGACAGGCCAAGCCTTACCAAGAAACCAAGTTTCTTGAAGCCTTCCCTTCACTATTCCAAAAAACATGGGGTGAAAGGGAGTAGACTCAACGAGCAATCAATGAGTGAAAGTATTTTCAAATCACAGAAGAAAACCCTTCGATACAACATAAGGCCTTGTTCTGAAGGCGCTTGAAGAACTCCCCTGTGCTACAAATGGACAAAGTCTGAGATATCGAGGGCACCTTCTCTCAAACATGGGTTTAAAATTGCAAAGCCTATTTGATTCTGAAGGCTGCGATCCAACAAGTGTTCCTAAAATTCTACTAAGTCCTCATATTGCTGAAGGAATCTACTCTATATATGGGGCTTAATTCCCAGAATCCACATGTCTAAGGCAAACCCCGAAGGCTCCTGTTGTACAACGTTCTACACCTCAGCATAAACCGAATGCATCTGCCCTCATGTTTCGAACTGAAATCATCTAAGACTATAGTTTGAAAGGCAAAGCCGAGGGCTCCCATTGTAATATATTGGACTCAAAAATTCCTAAGTCCACACTTGGGAATCCAACATTGCCGAAGGCTGCTCAAAAACATGAGCTCAAAATTCCCTAAAACCACACTCCAATAGCCTCTGGTCCGGCACTACAATCAACACTGGAGGCTCCTTTTCTGCAAGTGGGTTCAAAATCAACTAACTCCACATGTCTACCGAGGGCCACAAGTTGCAAACTCAGTGGAGATTTTTCTGTCCACAAATTGAGTGCCCTCGGCGCCACCATACTTTCCTAAGGGAAACTCGACCTAATACCACTACGAATCGAGGGCCCATATACTAAAAAGGGAGATTGATCGAGGGAATAATCATGACATTGCCTAAAGAATTGCTAAGTCCACAACACCAGTTCCCCGGGGATAGACGACGAAGGCTAGCTATTCCCTACAGCTAGAAGGACGATGTCCACCGAGGGTCTATATATAAACAACACTTAGAAAAATTTCTAAGTCCTAAATATTTGTCCCTCGGCCAATTCACCATGCAAACATACATTCATACGACTATGGAAAAGGCATAAAGGAAAATGAAGGCATTCATTCATCAGAAGAGAAGAAAGGAATAAAAATGAAACATCAAATGCCTGAAGGCATGCATACATTCATCAAAAGGAGGACAATTTAAGTGTTTGTTACATCTTGGCCGAAGCCGAAATCTTGAAAACATCATTACAGGGTAAAGTTCGAAATATATCTAAGTACAATCTTTATCAACCCCCCTTCAGCAGCTTTGGAGGTGACCTCTTCGCCGTTGGCCTCGTCGGCGTCACCATCGCCGGACTCCTTAGTCTTCTCAGAATCATCGAGCACTGGCCTCTCTTCGCCCGGGGGAAGGGGGACTCTCACATCTGGCTGTAGGGGGAAGACCATACGCCTCAAGATCGAATTACTCCAGGGGGATGTTGAAGTGTCAGGCCAGCCTACGATAAATCAAACGTTGGGTGAAGAACTCACCCCCTTGGTAGTAGCTGTCGCCTCTCTCGGCCAACCACATCTTACTGGGGCTTTCAACCCAGGCATCTATCTTCTTGTGCACCACCGAGAAGACCCATTCTTCCCTATCCTCAACCTCCCAGCCACTGGCACTAAAGGCATCAACAGCAGACCTCTCGACCAGAGCAACCGCCTCGTTTTTTGCCTTCTCAGCAACTACATCGGTGGCTTGGGCGGCTTCCCCAGTGACTTTCTCAGATTCGGCCCTGCCTTTGCCCTTGGCAGCCTCCACCCGCCGGTCAACACCCTCCGTTGCAGCCCGAAGGGTTTCCTCAAGATCGGCCAGCTTTTTCAGGAGGTTGGCCTTCTCCTCATCGTCGGCGGCCTTCTCCCTCCTAAGCTGCTCCATCCTACGGAAGTGCTCACAGAGACCCATATAAACCTGCAGGAACGAGGGCATGAGGGGTCAAAATACGTTACCAAGAAGGCAAGTAAACATGAAAAAAGAAAAGGAAGAAAGCATACGGAGGCGCTATTCTGGAGGATCCTTGAGTTGAGACCCTCATCATTCATTCGGGCGAGGGCCAGCCTGTCAGCTGAAGGCATCACCTGGCTCATCAACACCGAAGGGTTGAGGCTACCTTCCAGGATAGAGGCCCTATTCGGTACAATTGCCTCCAGCGTCTCCCGACCAAAGATGTCTCTATTAACATGTTCCCGGGGTATAGGAGCGAGGGCACCCACGTCATCCATAACGATGACCTCGTCAGTAACAGGCTGTTTGCCAGAGTCCACGGCCTTCTGCTTCTTAGCTGGGGGCTCAACCCCCTTTTCGGCCCTTTTCTTCTTGATGGCCGCATCGTCCTGAGAGCCCCCGATTCCAACAACATCACCAGCCTGGGAGGGCGCCTCCCCATCCTTCTTGTGGAAGGCATTCACCGGCTTCTGGGCAGCCGGCTCGTTCGCCCTTTTGGCCTTCCCCTTTTGCTTCTTCAGGGCAAAAAGAGAGTTCACATCCATATTGCTACCTGCAAAAAGAAGACACACCAAAAATGAGACCGAGGGGTAAAAGCAAACAATGTAAATGAGAACTGCAAAAATTTCTAAGTACAAATCGCGGTAGCCTTTGAAATTCACCTCCGGCACTCTCGTAAATACGATCCATGGGGGGTATCTCTCATCTTCTTCCCCACCAGCCTATAACGCCGAAATCCCAGGTTGTGCAGGTCATCCGAGAGAGTGGCTTCCTTGATTGACACCTACTTGTCAGAACCCTCCGGTTTTTTTGCGAGCTTCCTACCCTTCTTCTTGAGGGCTGAACCCTCTACTTGCAGATGCCGCCGAAAGCTATTACGGAGCGGGGCCGGAAAGGGGTTCTCCTCCAAGCAAACGTGGCATAACTTATCCTTCCATCCCTTGTGGGATGAAGGGACTTCATCAAATAGCCTAAACTCCGGGAGTTGCTGCAAGTTGGCAAAGCCCCCGTCATTCGAATGCCCCCTTCCGGCACAAGTTGAAAGACAGAAAAAACTGGTCCAAGGTGGGTGGGACCCCCCGGCTGTGGCAAAGGGAGAGAAAGCCAGCAATATAGGAATGGTTGTTAAGTGTCAGCTGACAGGGGGCCAACCCCACAAATCTCAGGTACTCCAACAAGAAAGGGTGGAGCGGAAATCGGAGCCCCATTTCAACTGATAGGATATGGGCAGCGAAACAACCCTCGGGTGCATGCAATAACAAGTCATCTGGCCCCGGCTCCACCACGCGTGCCGAAAGGCTGGCAAATAGTTGTGTGGCCTCCTGATATTCAACGGGGGATGCCTTCATCTTTACCTCCAGAGCAGCAGTGTCCAAATATAAGTGGCCTTCGGGTATGCCCACCGGCTGCCCAGCGTCGACAACGGCCTGTTTCTTCTTTGGGGCGGCCTTCGCTTTCTTCTTCTTCCCCGGGGCTACCCTGAGAGGCGTCGGGTCTAGAGACCTAGAGTTGCTGGCCTCACCCGCATTACGTGGGGGGAGGATGGCGACGGTAACCTGCATCCTTTCTTTCTCTTCCTCCTCTTCAGCAACTTGGAAAGCGAGGACCATCTCCTCATCCTCGACTACCTGTTCAAACACTCTCGGATTGCACCGAGGCCTCCTTCGAGATATTCTAGGAATCGCTTTTGGAAGACATTTTGTAGCGAAGGGTTTTCGAGGCAAAATTTCTAAGATCTAAAGGCCCCTAAACATGAGATCTAAAGGAAAGGAAGCTAGATATGCAAGAAATACGAAGAACGGTGGATGAACAGACCTCGAAAGTAAAAGTTGGATCGAATGGGAGTTTCTCTCTCTAGAAACAATTGGCCAGAGCTTCGCTACAATAAAATCGCACAAGGGGATGAGCTCCAGCCTTGGGGTATTTATAGGCTCCTCACCCCGGGTTTGGGCCGAAGATCTGGGCCTTGGTAATGAAATCATCATTGCGAACTGTCACTTCAGCCAACCGGTGACGCCCGCCTGGAGCCGGCCAACGGGTACATGCCATGTGGGCAACCACCTCCAATGGTCATATTCCAACGGTCATATCCCAACTGATACCCCTCAGACAACTACTCGAGGGAAACTCTTTCGAACCCCTTCATCTAGGGGGAGCCCCCAACATAAAGATGGGGGGAACCCCTCAGGGACCCTTAGCCCTCAATGAATTAAGAACCTGGGAACCCCTCGGGAACACGGGAACTATCACTTGCGTTTGTCAAGCCCCCAGACCACAGATCGCGGATAGCCCTCGGTCCTCAGACCACAAGGTGCCTCCGGCCAATCAGCGAGGAAGCCCACAGATCACGGATAGCCCTTGGTCCTCAGACCACAAGGTGCCTCCGGCCAATCAACGAGGAAGCCCACAAATCACGGATAGCCCTCTGTCCTCAGATCGCAAGGTGCCTCCGGCCAATCAACGAGGAAGCCCACAAATCACGGGTAGCCCTCTGTCCTCAGATCGCAAGGTGCCTTCGGCCAATCAGCGAGGAAGCCCTCAGATCACGGATAGCCCTCGGCATCAACATTATGCTCAGACCAAGGGTCCGCCTTTTCGATTCATCATTGAGGGAACTCGGTGGAATGATGAGGTGAAACAATCCATAAGGAACAAAAGAGATTGCTACAAAAAGTTGGGGACAAGTTGGAGTGATGAGAACATATAAGCATACAAGGAAGCTAAAAGACATGCAAAGAAAGCCGTAAGGGAAGCACGAGGGAAAGTGAACAAGGAGTTGTATGAAAAGTTGGACTCTAAGGAAGGAGAACTAGATATTTATAGACTTGCTCGTCTTCGTGATCGCAGGACTCAAGATATTGCAAAAGTTAAGTGTGTGAAGGATGTCGATCAGAGGATATTAATGGACGACAAAGAGATAAAAGAGAGGTGGAGGTCATACTTTGATACACTATTCAACGGGAACAAAACGTAAGATATCGGTGATTTGTCCATACCAGATTGTATGGTAAATCGTGATTTTGTGAGAAGGATCCAAACAACAGAAGTTAAAGAAGCTCTGAGGAAGATGGGACGGAAGAAAGCAATGGAGCCGATGGCATACCGATCGAGGCTTGGAGAAGTTTGGGAGAGAGAGGCGTCGAGTGGTTAACAAGTTTCTTCAACATAATTTGGAGAAACAACAAGATGCCAACGAGTTGGGGGAAGAGTACTCTTATCCCCTTATTTAAGAATAAAGGCGATGTACAAGAATGTGCCAACTATCGAGGGATTAAGCTTATGAGTCACACCATGAAACTTTGGGAGCGAGTGATTGAGCAAAGACTTCGAATAACTGTGAAGATTTCAGAGAATCGGTTCGGTTTTATGCCTGGTCGCTCAACAACTGAGGCCATTCACCTTCTTCGGAAACTTATGAAGAAGTATAGAGACGCTCATAAGGATCTGCATTTGGTGTTCATTGACTTAGAAAAGGCATATGATAGGGTACCTCGAGAAGTTCTTTGGTGGGCCTTAACTAGGAAAGGCATATCACACAAGTATATCAGCATCATCATGATATGTATGAGGATTGTACTACAAGTGTTCGTACTAGTGTAGGGAGGACTGAAGAGTTCCCTATTACTATCGGAGTGCACCAAGGATCGGCCTTGAGCCCTTTCTTATTTGTCATAGTCATGGATGAACTTACGAAGTCAATTCAAGACGATATACTGTGGTGCATGATGTTTGCCGACGATATTGTATTGATTGATGAGACGCAATCAGGTCTTAAAGCAAAGTTGGAAGTGTGGCGACAAACATTGGAGAATAAGGGTTTCAAACTAAGTCAGAGCAAGACAGAGTACATGGAGTGCAAGTTTGGTGGAGGTAGAAGCAGTGGTAATAGCGGAATTACTCTGGATGGTAAGGAGATACCAGTCTGCGATATGTTCCATTACTTGGGCTCCATAATTCAGAAGGACGGTGAGTTAGATGGAGATATATCCCATAGAATCAGAACAGGGTGGATGAAGTGGAAGAGTGCGTCAGAATTTCTATGCGACCGAGGTATGCCGACTAGACTGAAGGGTAAATTTTATAGGACAACAATTAGGCCTGCATTACTGTATGGCGTAGAGTGTTGGGCGGTGAAACAATGTCACATTCAAAAGATGAGTGTGGCAGAGATGCACATGCTACGTTGGATGTGTGGGCTACTAGGAAGGACCGCGTGAGAAATTATACAATCAGACAAAGGGTGGGAGTAGCACCTATTGAAGACAAGATGCGGGAGTCGTGCCTTCGGTGGTTTGGTCATGTGAGTAGAAGACCGAGTGATGCACATGTCAGACGAGTTGAGATGTGTGGAGAAGAGGCAGGGAAGAGAGGGAGAGGAAGACCCAAACAGACGTGGGTTAGGGGAGTTCAAAGTGATATGCTTCTTCTGGGGTTGGATGAGGGCATGACTTTGGAGAGAGCTAAGTGGAGGGCGGGTATTCGCGTGAAGGAGTGATCTCGTATAATCTTTTTCCCTCATCTGTTTTTTCCTTTGTTTTTATCATTATATATAAGCATTATTTGTAGCCTTTTTATTTTATCATTTTTATGTATATTCATCTCTTTTTATATTATCTTTTTATAATAGCTTATCTTTTTTATCTTTATTTTCTTTCTTTTCCTTTTGGTTGTGATATCATGTATCGATTCATGTTAGCTGACCCCAATATCTTTTGGGACTAAGGCTTGGATGTTGTTGTTTGTTGTTGTATTGAGGGAACTCGGTGCACTCTTTTTCCCTCATTAGGATTTTTCCCACAGGGTTTTTCCTAATGAGGTTTTTAACAAGACATCTGTAACACTTGAGATTTAATTTAAACGGATTAATAGTACTACTCATACCAAACAGAGGTGCATCTCTTTTTAAGGGAGCTCATCACCCAAGAACTCCAAAGTTAAGCGTGCTTGCACGAGAGAGCGTGCTTACAAATGGTCCTGCGAGGCCGGGGTGTTACAAATGGTACTTCTGACCTCTAGTGTACTAGAGGTCAGAAGTAACTACCTCGGGGCCTACAGGGTCGGGGTGTTACAGGTGGTATCAGAGCAACCCTGCGACAGTGTGCTGATCCGTTGGATATCGGGCGGGCACTTAGCAGGGGAAAGGATTCTGGGATATGATTGAGATTGGTTTATGGGCGCAACGAGGACGTTGCGTTCCTAAGTGGGGGTGATTGTAACACTTGAGATTTAATTTAAACGGATTAATAGTACTACTCATACCAATAAGGTGCATCTCCTTTTAAGGGAACTCATTAGCCAAGAACTCCAAAGTTAAGCGTGCTTGCACGGGAGTAGTCTTGGGATGGGTGACCCCCTGGGAAGTTTCTCAGGGCGCGCACGAGTGAGGACAAAGTGCGCGGAAAAGGCTAGTGGCAGTTTGTGAGGACAGTACTAGAAGTCTGGAGTAACTACCTCGGGGCCTACGGGGCCGGGGTGTTACAACATCC